TTCATTCGCGTTTCAACGCGAACGGCTGTTTTTAAAGCTTCTTCTAAATCTCTTGGATCTCGTGCATCGACTGCTTTCGCGATTTCATCAGGCAATCCGCGAAGAAAAGCTTCTAATGCGCACTCTTTTACGGGATTTAACATTTGATTTGCATTTATACCATACTTATCCTCTAATGCTTCATGCGCCCCATTAATTAAAATATTCAATCTGTCGTAGAAATCATTTACTGATTCATTCCTTTTCATACGAATGTTCTCGATTTCGTGATGATAATACGGATATGATTTTCCCTTCGCAAATCGCGATTTTAGATGTTTTATCAAATCATTTAATGTGTTAAATGTTTTACCGTAAATACTATCTCGCGCTGAACCTTGTAATTTGCCTAATACTGCTTTTATGTATGCGCTTTCAGAAGAAGGTGGAATATACACTGAACCGTTTTGAACATCTTGTAGAAAACTCTTTAGTGGAATATTTTTGCCATCAAAATATGGAACATTCATTGTGCCATTTTGTAACGCGAAACATTCTGCCATGGAAGCCATCATCGAATTTGTAATTTGCAAATCGAAGTTAGAAATATTTCCACTTGCGTTATCATTATCAGTTGCCATCTTGTATAATATTTTATATTATTTGTGAATATAAGAACAATATAATATATGCAATAAATATAGACGAAATTTGTGCAGTGACGAATCAACGGTTATCAAAAATATTTCAGAGTTCAATAAACGTATTTTACAATTAAATTAAATAAAGAAATCTTATACTCTGTTTAATATGCGAAAATTCGGTTAACGAAACATCAGTGGCCCAATCAAACAATTAAATCAACCAATTATTTCTATACTAGAAATTGATTGATAATATATCACATTTATAACACAGACATAAAAATATTTAACATAATAGAAATAATAAATATAAGAACATAACATATATTAAACCAAATATTCAAGAAGGAAAGAGCGTACTTAATTAACTTCTTTTTTAAAAAAAAATTTCTTTTAATTAAGTTTACCTTATTATATTTTTGAAAAGCAATTATAAAATTTAATTTCAATAAAAGCGAGAAATTCACAATGAGCTTTAGCAACAAATATCCCACTTCTGACACCAATTCAGCTGTGACGTGGGACACAGATTCCTGCGTCACAGCTTAAATAATTTTTAAATATTATTATTATATATATTTTACTTGCCTATCGGCAAGGTCAGGTCTTTGTCACAGCAGTCCTGTACGGGCCCTGGCTCGTATGTGAATTTCTCTTTCGTATTTAATAGGGTGGACGGTTAGGATGCGAGCAGATTCAACGGTGAATTTAAATTAAATATTGAAAGCTATTTTACTATTCAAATATCATTGTCTGATGTGTATTTTAATAACCAATAATTAGACTTTAAATTTTACATATTTATAATAGATCACACTCTTTCATTCTTACAGTTAACTCATATACAATTGAACATAAACTGTATAGAAGAATACAATGAAAATATATATATATATTTATTCGTTTCTGGGATATCAACTAGGGTTACCCCGGAATGAATTATATCATTTATTAATATCCCAGATTTGAACAACAGTGATTTCATATGATAAAGAAATACAATAAAAATTGTCGGAATAATATTATATGAAAGATCAATAGAAATACCACCCGAGAACAATTAGGGATTCCTCGGAAATGAAATATCATTTACTGATATTCCTAGTGGTCACAACAAAATAAATTCATAATCATTTATACAAAAATATTGATTGGAAGAAAATCAACTCACCACTAAATATCTTTACGGGAAAATATCTAATCGAGAAAAACGCTGGTCTCGATGTTCTGAGTTGTTCTGGTCGCCCTGTGGTTGAAGGAAAAACACACGCACACGTTTTACGGTTATAATTAACGCTAAATTATATTTACAAAAAAAAAGATTTAACATCAAAGTATTTAAATAAATTAAATTAATAAAAGAAATTGAATAAAACGAGTTGTTTTACGAGGAACTAGAGTCTTTGCCTACCACTCACTTCGTATAATACTACTAAATTCACGGTAATACAACTATGCTCAATTTAGCTCGCTCGGACTAATATCGCGCTTCGCGCGACTGTACGATGAGAAGTAAGAAGTCTCGTACCTTGGTCGACCACGTAAACTCGGTGGAACGTTCTAGAAGCTTTGGAGACAAAGGATCTTAGAACCACGTGATCGTCGCCAGTTTATAGAAAAAGTCTTCGAGATTTCGCGACTCGGTACACGCAAGAATTTGGTGTTTACGAGTTGTACCGCGTCTCGCGCCTCACGCCCACCAAACCGCTCGATTCGTCCTAGCGACAACGTGCGCGCGGACGAACCACGCTGCTATTCGAGCTACGGCTTCAGTATTCGGAGCGTACATGAAGAAGAAATAATCCTTCTTCCAATGATATCTGTAACCGTGATATTTGAACGCGATGGTAATATTCGGTGTGCTTATCTTTTCAACAATTATACATATATACATATACGCCGCTGTTACATTACATGATTTAACGCCTTTCATTCGTAACAAGCAACGTACTTAACATATTTACAATACTAAACATATTAAAAATATTAAACGTATTAAACGTATTTACACGGTTTTTACAAGGCGCGGCGTTGCCAGCAGGGTGAAAGTGGCGTGACGACGTTGATTTCAAGGAAGGAATGTGCATCTTTGTTCAAAAATGAATTTAATAAACTACCGTCAAAAGCTAGGCTTGTGTTCGATTAGAACGAATTCGGGGTGGTAAACCATCTCAAACACATTCCTGCCGACGAAATCAAGAAAAATAAAAATTGAAAATGTCAGCACGTAACATCATAAAAAAAAAAAGAATACTGATTTTTATATTTATTTCCATTCAGTGTGCCATCACCATGCCATCCTGGTGGCCTCTTCCCCTCGTGGCAGCTCCGAGGGGCGATGATAGCGATGTGTCCTTTTCGAAGGTGGTCAGTCCTCTTGGTGGTAGCCACACAGGGGTCCTGGGGTGGAGGACACCGTGACCGGTGTCATTGGCGTAACGTTAAACCCTCGGACACCGGACGGTCGCATGAACGACGCGACGCGAAGGAGCTAGGTTACTATTCAATCAGCAGAATCTAAGTCCATACGCGCTACGAAAGAAGACTTAAAATCAAATTTTTACATGCAAATATTATTATCAATTTAATAATGCCTTGTAATCAATTTTTATTTGTTAATATTTTTTTCCAAAAACTACCTCTGTAAAAAAGTATTATTACAAAATTGTTTAGAAAAAAAGTATTAAATACTAAAGAAAGGTGAAAAAATATTTTTTCGAAGTACTCATAAATAATATTTATCCTGATTCGTCATTTTTATATAAATACATGGTTTGATACTCGAATACAATTGAGAGGAATGTGACTTCAACATACATACACAGTTCGAGGCGCATAAAATATACTTTTTTTCACCAAACCAATTGATTCCTTCATCGTAACAGAAAAGGCGGAATTTATGGTGGCACTATATTTTTTCAATTTAAAATCCACAAGAATAGGTGTGTAATATTTGGTTGGGGAGTATCTTTTGACAAACTGGTGCATGATTTAATCAACAATTTGTAAAAAAAACGTCTCCCCCAGCCAAATATGTTTTCTAATAATAAAATTAAACGTAAAAAATACATAAATAATAAAAGTAAACAAATAAAAAGATTCCCCTTTTTAAACTAGAACTACAATAAATTCCAGATGTGAATTTAGAAGCAAACATTAAAATTAAACTATATAACATACTTATAATTATATTTTCTTATAATTAAAACATTCACTGCACTTCACTTAATTCATAATTTATATTTATAATTTTACACTGCACTTTTAATAGCAATTAATTATACACTGCACTTCACTTAATTCATAATTTATATTCAATCTGATTATACAGAATCTTCACTTACTGCTTCGTTATCCTCGGAAAACGTATCTTCAATATTGATATTCAGATTGTCCATCGCAGTTTCCAATAAAAAGTCCTGGTCGTAGTACTGCCTTTCCAACTTTTCGATGTGGTCGCAAAATTTATTCCAATCATTTACCGTTGTTCCATCTATAGCTTCCTTCGTCAATCTTAATAATTCAGTAAACGTTAACGTTCCAGTGTTTCTTTCTCTAACTTTCCTCTTTATTTGAGCCCATGCCAACTCAATTGGATTTAGTTCGCACATATATGGAGGCGATCGCAGTATTATATGTCCTTCTGACTTCATTATTGTGTCGACCTTGTACACTTTTTCCATACTTTTATTTGCTTCTTTTATTTCCTGTAGCTCATATTTCCTCATGGCTTCTGAATATTGAAGATTATTTTCTTCTAGCCAAGCGATCATTTCTGCCTTCCTAGCATGTATTGACGGTACTTTATTTATTTGCACCGTATGGTAGAGTGCATTGTCCATCACCACTACGCTGTTTCTCGGTATATTTGGTAGTAGTTTCTCGCGTATCTTAAAGTTTTAAAGATAAGGCCAGCTCCTTTAACGTATCCATTTCTCCCACCGGCGTGAACAATTACAAAACGATGGGAAGCACTTGTATTCTCGAGGATTCCTAACATATCGTCACCCTGCCAGCACTTATTGAAGGATATCGTGCTGTCGATCCACGTTTCGTCCAGGTAAATGATTGTCCTTCCTTCTCTTCGGTATCGTTGGATTGCACTAATGTACTTCCCTCTCCAAGTAACAATGTTCGGGCTTTCTATTAAAATCTTTCTGTATTTCGTGCAGTTCTTCCATGTAAATCCCATCTTCTTCAATAGTCTGTACAGGGTGTGCACCTTCCAAGGAAAATTAATTTTTTCCTGTATCGCAGCTAATAATGTAGCGCACGACAGTATAATTTTTTTTCCGTATAAAATTCATAAATGGTATTTTTTATAACCATTTTATCCTCTTCCGTGATGTTGCATCTAACTTCGAGGTCCCGCGGTCGTTTTTTACTTGGTGCTGGCAGCCTTCCGTCTGCAGAGGTTGACGTTTCATTGCGAATCCTGGACACTGTTCGCTTCGATAGTTCTGTGTATTCCGCAACACGTTCATTAATTTGAGGAAGAGGGTGAAGTAATGTTTTCCTTGATGCTTTGTCCTGGCATTTCTCGACGATTCTTCTCGCCATGTTTCGGGCCTCGCTGTGAACTATTTATCTCCTCTTGTGACAAGCCATTGTAATTGATGAAAACTTCACTTAAAACACTATACACACTTCACTAAAAACGCTGTATACCACACTCACTTAATACTATAACTTAATTTTCACTACACTTCACTTTAAAAATAATATTTAATATTAAAAATAAAATGATATTCTCTAAAATACCTAAAATAGGTTCAAAAATTTGTCCGCCAAATTAATTTTGAACGAATGAAAATATTATAGAATAATTTAATTTTGTTTGCAGCTCTCTCTCTCTCTCTCTCTCTCTCTCTCTCTCTCTCTCTCTCTCTCTCTCTCTCTCTCTCTCTCTCTCTCTCTCTCTCTCTCTCTCTCTCTCTGTGTGTGTGTGTGTGTGTGTGTGTGTGTGTGTGTGTGTGTGTGTGTGTGTGTGTGTGTGTGTGTGTGTGTGTGTGTGTGTGTGTGTGTG